AAAAAAAAAAAAAAAAAGAATGTTTCTAAGATTATACTTTTAGTGATATATATTGAAAGTTTAAAACCTTTTGAATTCAGAATTTATGAAATAAAAATTCTTAATAATTTGGCAATCTTAAATAATCAATGGCATTTATTTAAAGAAAAACATTGTTAAATGGAAAATAACCCTGGCAAGCACTTAATGGTAATTTAATTTACCTAGAAACTGTCTGTTGACCTAGAGAAAGCCTAGCAAATGATGAATGTTGTTTTTATATATATTCCTGTGGGATGGCAAAGGTAGTAAAGATAAGAAAACATTTTAAGTTACAAGATTTTTAACTTTAAACAAATAGCGGGATTTCCACCAAGAAATGCACATTGGGATGTATTTATATCTCAAGTACTTTCTAAAGTCCCCAGCTTCCAAAGTCACATTACTGTAATTGAGAAAGTAACTCTATCTTGTTTAAAAATAGTAACATATTTGGTGTTAACTTTTTAAAATGAGTGCTATGATAAAATAGTCTTCCATAAAAATATTTTATAAACATAGATGTTTACAAAAATATTATAAAAATATAAAAGCACAGGAAATTCTTAATATATTAAATATGTTTATAAAGTATCCAACCTCTGTACTCACACAATAAATTAAACTTTTATTGACCAAATAACCCATATGAATATTTTTTAAATATTTCTTTTTTGGCACAGCACATGGGTTACAAGTAAAGTGCTGGATCCAGACAGCTTATTTCATATCCCAGTTCCACTTTATGCCGTTTGGGGCAACATAACTCTATGCCTCTGTTTACTCATCTCTAAAATGGGGATAATAGTACCTATCTCAAAGCACTGGTTTTTAGGATTGGATGAGTGCCTAGAAAAGTATCTAATATTAAGCAACCAAAGTTAGCTATTAACTCAACATTTTTCTCTCTATATAAACATACTTACTTTCAAGAAAACTTGCAGATCTTGAGTCTGAGTGTGCTGTAGAATGTCTTGTTGTAAATGTTTGAATATAGCTATACAGATATACACTTGATAATCAGGACCAAGGAAAACACAAGTAGCAATATAATGGCATATTTCTATCCAATCTAAATAATTCCAAAAACACTGGGTTATCCATTGCAGGCAAATCTTTAAAAAAAAAAAAAAAAAAAAAAAAAAGTAAGTTCATTTAAAAACTTCTAAAACCACATTTGACTTTTAAAAAACATTATCCTATAACTCATACAAAACTAATGAAAAGTTTAGAATTTAATTGAAATACAAACACATTCTTCATACATGACTAACAAGGATGCTTCTCCTATTTGCTTCAGTTGCAAAAAAACCTTTCATGGTCTTGGAATTCAGGCCTTAAGGGTAACTGATAATGTTCATATTGCTCATGTACCTATCACTGAATGCCTCCTTTATTCATATTGTCCTCCTCTTACCCAAAACACCAATCTGCTCTCTACAGATAACAAATGCTAAGAGACTATTTTAATTCAGACATGGGAGTTTTTTTCTATCCTACCTACAATCACAGATGTATAATTATGCAGATGACAGATTGCAAAATGTTACATTAATGCAAATGGACTCTTCCTGAATCAGAAAACAATTTAAACCAAACAGAATTATGTAACATAAAAACTGGGAGCTAATGCAGAGAATATTTCAAAAATCAGACTTTTACAAAAATAATTTTTTCTTCTTAATTTTTTGTATAACATTTGTTCAAATTATAAAATTAATGCGTGCCCACGGTGGAAAACAGAAAAGTTTAAGGAAAAAACAATAACAATTAACACAGAGATTATAAATATTGGTAACATTTTGATACATCAATGAATATTACCCATAATGGGTAAAGCTGAGTCCCCCTCAAAAGATACGTCAGAGCCCTAACCCCTAGAATCTCAGAATCTGACTTTATTTGAAAACAGGGTCTTCACAGACATAATCAGGTTAAAATGAAGTCATTATGGTGAGCCCTAATCCAGTATGACTGGTGTCTTTAAAGGAAGGGGAAATACAGTCACAAAGATAGGCACACAAAAAGAAGGCAATGAGAAGACACAAACGGAGAACATCATGTGAAGAAGCAATATGTATCTGCAAGTCAAGATTCTAAAGGCTACTAGAAACCAGGAGAGAGGTAAGTAACACTTCTTTCTTTACCAGCTATGGAGTGAACATAGCCTTGTTAATACTTTGATTATGGCCTTTGGCTTCTAGAACTGTGAGAAAATAAATTTCTGTTGTTTTTCACCACCGAGTTCATAGTACTTTGTTACTATAGTCATAAGAAACTAACACAATTACTTTCCAATATTTTCATTTTCATTTATGATTTACAAATTACTTTACCTTCAAATAAAGATTCCCCTTACTAAATATCTCTTCTCCTTTAGTTTTTATGTTTTTGGGGGATGTGGGGAAGAAATGGAAAGAGATTTGATGGCTTATCTCAATTTCTCATAGGTATAGAGAATACAGAAATATAAATTTTCCTTTTGTGTTACATCATTTTGTTATTCTAAAAATATATTCTTGAATAGGTTCTAACAGTTGTTTTTATATCCTTGATTCAACTTTTTCGCATGCTGATCTTGCTTTTAGCTGACTTGAACAAACTAACATGTATTAGTTTGGTAGGGTTGATACAACAAAGAACCACAGGTGGAAGACTTAAACAATAAAAAATTATTTTTCACTATTCTGGAGAAATCCAAGATAAAGCTGTTGGCAGGGCTGGTTTCTTCTGACGCCTCTCTGAGGCTTATAGATGGTTGTCTTTTCCCTATGTCTTCACATGGGCTTCCCTTAGTAGATGTCTGTGTCCAAATTTCCTCTTTAATAATGACACCAGCCATATTGGATTAGGGTCCAAGTTAATGAACTCATTTTAACTTAATTACTTCTTTAAAGGTCTTATTCAAATATAGTCACTTTCTGAAGTACTGAGGTTACGCCTTCAACAGGTGAGTTTTGGGGAGACACAATTCAGCCTGTACAAGAGGGTATTACTGAATTTTTGTTTTCCAGACATTATTACTCATATCAATTATTTACCTTTAATAAGGCTATTAATTCTGTTCTCAGGTATAAGATTTTCCTTTACAACTATTATGTTCCCCTCCTGTTAGGTTCTAAAATCTTTCCATAGAGCCCATAAGTTTTAACTCGATATTCAAATAGAACATATCTATGAATGCCCAACATTTGTCAACAGGCATTATATATTAAATACTCATTGGCCCTACCTTTACTGTTCACTTTGCATTAATAGGATGCATCTCTCAAATTTCAACATAGAGTGTAGGCTGGCATGCAGAGTACATTACCAAATCTCCACTGCCACCCACTCCAACAAATCCCTGTAATATGGCTCTAGTGGACAAGGAAGAAATGTCTCTTGCTCCCTCTTGACTAGTGAGACTGAAGAAGTCAGTAGGACTTTGACTAGATGCAATAATTCTCTAATTGCCTGTTGCCCTTCTGCCAAGATTCTCTCTTTGTTCTTTGCTACAGCTATTAATGCCAATCAACTTAAAGCCATGCTGTGTTAATGAAAATCTAGTCTCTGGATAGATGAAGAAGGAGAAGCAATTCAAGAATGAAAATAAATACAAACGATCCTCAAAGCTAGAGAAAGCAGATCCCATTCAATTGGTAGTTTCAGGAGTGAATGGCAAGTTGATAAAGATGTGGGGTCTCAGCTTCTGTCCACTATTATACACAGTTTCTAATGTAGTTGCAATTTTTTGGCATTTATATACATTCAAGCATTGTTTCTGTCGACTGTATTTTTCTTCCATTAAATGGATATACCTATTTTTTTTTCCATCACATGGGAAGTATCGAGGAGGAAAAATGTGAGACTGTAACTGAAAGTACTTTGAAAAGTACTATATAAATGTTATAACAAAGGTACAGATGTTATTATTTAATAAATATTTATTGAGTACCTAATATATACACGGTAATATTATCATTTTTATGTGAACAAAAGACTGTTTCACAGAGTTTACACTTAAAGGGGAGACATCCTTTTTAAACATATGACCCTCTTGGCTTGGTAGAAATTATATTGGCTATTACTCTATTTGCAAGTACTTCAGAATTCCAAAACACCATATCCCTGGAAAAATGCTGAGTCATAGATTGTAATCTCTGAGCAAGTAACTTCTGTATTTTTTTTTTTTTTTTTTGATACACAGTCTCACTTCATCACTCAGACTGGAGTGCAGTGGCACAATCTCAGCTCACAGCAGCCTCTGCCTCCTGGGTTCAGGTCATTCTCATGACTGAGCTTCCTGAGTAGCTTGGATTACAGGTGTGTGTCAACACCCCGGCTAATTTTTGTATTTTTAGTAGGGACAGGGTTTTGCCATATTGGCCAGGCTGATCTCGAACTCCTGACCTCAAGTAATCAACCTGTCTCAGCCTCTCAAAGTGCTGAGATTACATGCGTGAGCCACCATGCCTGGCCACTTGTGTATTTTTTTTTTTTTTTTAAGATGAAGTCTCGCTCTGTTGCCAGATAGAGAGCAGTGGCACAATCTCAGCTCACTGCACCTCCATCTCCCAGGTTCAAGTGATTCTCCTGCCACAGCCTCCTGAGTAGGTGGGACTATAGGTGCACACCACCACACCTAGCTAATTTTTGTATTTTTAGTAGAGACAAGGTTTCACCATATTGGCCAGGATGGTCTTGATCTCTTGACCTCATGAACTGACCTCCTGAAATGCTGGGATTACTGGCATGAGCCACTGTCCCTGGCCCACTTGTGTATTTTTATAATGGTCTGATTATCAACTGATAATCTAGAATTCTAATAGGAAGAAGGAAATAGTACGTGTCCAAACAGACATGATGTAGATTTTTCTTTAACAATTATTCCAAAATTTTTTCAAACATATAAAGGAAGGTAGAATAGTACATGAACTAGACAATTTCAAATTTTGATTGGTTGCTATGTCTCTTAAGTTACCTTTCCCCTATAGGTGCCCTCTCCTTTCCTCTATCCCTTTCTCCTACTAAAGATGTTTCCTCCAACTGCATGTATTCTACTGTAGTTAAACCACAATTTATTCAGCCAAGCCCCTATTCATGGACATTTGCACTGTTTCTAGTTTTTTTGATATTATACAGTACCACTAAAACATATTTGTGCATATGTATTTTCAAATTTTTTCCAGTGTATTCTTCAGATAGAGCTCTACAAATGAGATTCCTGGGTTAAAGGGTAAATGAACATGTAATTCTGCTGGAAAATGACAAATCACCTTTTATAAGTCTAAAAAAATATTATTATATTTTCAAAATCCATCAGTTGAGTCTTTATGTTGACCGGAAAAAAGTTATTATCAATAGTTATGACATGAGTTTATAAAGAAAAGTGAAAAAGAGCTAATTTTGTTTTGTAGAAAACCATCATTCCATGCATAGTGTAGAACTAATTACAATTTAAAAGACATTTGAATCGCTTTTTAGGCTTGTAAGAAAGAAATATCACTTGAACAATATGCATGAAAATCTACCACAGCTTTCCTAGGCAATTTTGTTCTTGAACCATACTTAAGATTATGCCAAAGGACATTAAGATATCACACTGAAGAGCACATTATTTTATCTGAGGTGAATTTTTCCTTCTTGTAAATAGAATTAAAAAACAATCTTCAAAGCTTGCATTAGAACATTAAGTCAAAAAAGTTTGGTTGAAACAATTAACTATAGACACTCGATTAAGCCAAAATGGGTATGATTTCTAAATGATAAAATTTTCTGATTCAAATACACTATTTTTAACAAGTCCTTTGACTTCATTTGCTTTCATCATAGAAGGAGTATCAGTAAACAGAAAGAAAACTGACTATGGAATAAAAGTGGTTTCAAGTCCTTACACTATCTGAATAACCTCCATATGTCAATTCACTTCATTGATCCTGAATTTCTCCATCTGTTACACAATAAAGGTTAAAATTGTAAAGAAAAAAGGAACCACTCTTTATATTATAAAGCAACAGGATAAACCTAAGACTGTTTTTGTTGCCCTTCCAGGCAAGACATTGTGTCAGAAATTCAAGGGACCTGAAGTGAGGCACATACATCCATACCTTTAAAGATCTTCAACTAATAAGAGCAAGGTAAAAAATGCAAATAATGATTCCACAAAGTAAGACATGTGTTCCTACTAAAAGAAGGGTACAGAAACAGTATACAAACACAAAACAGAATCATCTACTTGTAAAATATCCAGGATGCTTCTATTTGGACACATATTAAATAATAAGTACCGAACAAGCAAAAATAACACACAGGAAGGGAGAAGGTTTCAAGGAGCAACATCCACAATATGAGGAGAGAGAAGGCATACACATTTGTAAAGACATATACATTTATACATCTGACTCTGAACAAAGGCCATGCCCAGCCTTCATGTCCTGCTTTGTATTTGTATAATTTTACATTTTCAAAAAGCATTGTGTCACAAAAAAAAAAAAATGGAAAAGTTTTTTATAATCCTGCTTTCATAATAGGGGGAAAAAACAGCAAATGAGAAAAACCCAGCAGGTTTTTAGACTTTACATCCAGGGGATTGTCTGTGTTAACCTAATTGTTGACATAGTACAATACAATAATCAATGATACGCAGGATAGTGACTCCAATAATTAAAAGAGATGAATTATTAAAGACACATGGTGCTTCTTAAGCCAGGAAAATGAGAACAAAATACAGTAAAAACTTTTTTTAACAAAAGATAAAATTGGTCAAAAAGTTAATTAGAACACGTGATTTTTCTGCTGCTCATTTAAAAAGAATATACATTCAATTTTCTATTTTCTTCCCAAACTCAGTTACTACTAAAAGAAACTCTACAATAAAGATGGATTGCTTACTACATTTAATTTTTTGTACTCTAGTTGAGCTTACTTTTACTTTAGAGATCTGTGTATTTCATTTAGCAATCTGCCCAAAAATCCTTCACTAATCAACCAATCCCTTACTGCCTAAAAATACACAACTTCAAAAAGCACTGCTCCTAATTAGATCAAAATGAACAAGCTATGAAACATGAAATTTGTATCCAAATAATTAATCAAATATACCTATTTAGTTACTTAAAAACTGTTTTCATATCTTATAATTAGCAATAAAATGGTAATATCAACAGATCAATGATACGACTTCTTAAGGCAGATTAGCTCACATGGGGAGCCATTAAAAGGACATCTGTACATTACTTTAAGAGAAAGAATAGCATTACTGTTTCAAAATAATGTAGTGGTTGTTATTAAATAAATCTGCTATTTGTATGCAGTTTCAAATTAACAAAAAAATACAAATAACCGATAAAGATATATCCTATTACTAGATGAATATTCTCTTTTTAATTACTAAAGTGATAAAGCAGGCCGTGAGGTATTACAAGGTTTTCTCATAGTCTTTGTTGGTTCAGTTTTAGAGTACATGTTAGAGATTTATAAATTATTGGATGCTTTACATTACAATTTATTGGATACACTAATGTAGATTTAAAAAAATACACATCACACTTATGTAGATTACAGAAGCAAAAAGAAACTCTCAGGAACATACTGCTCCCAGCTGAACTTTTTAAAAGAATAGAAACAATTGATCATTGACCTTATAGTAAATATTTAAGCAACTGCCTCCAAGCAGACTTTAAAAACTTTGTGATTCAAAGTTCTAAAAATTGTTTTAGGTACATATAGCAACAGCAAAAATTGACCAAGGAAGACTATTCCTTTCCACTACATGCAATTCCTTGCTATATTTAAATTTCTTATTAACTTCAAAAGTTAAAAATAGGAAGAATAACTTCATGCAAGTAATTTTAATAAATCGTATAACGTCTCTTCAAAATAAATATAAAGCTCATACTGGAATGTCAAGAAAAACTACTGTCTAATTAAGAGGGGAAAATCACAGTAGGATAAATCTAAAGGAATGCAAGGATAATTACCATTAAGAAATCTATTACTGTATCACATAAAAATATCAAACAAGTCCCAAAGTCAAGATAAGCTTAATCATAAAAGATACTGATGAAATTCAACATTATAATTTAAGTAAAAGAAATGAAACCAAATTCAATACTTTAGAAACCAAGGCTAGAAAAATGCTTCTATAGCATTGATGTAGAACAATTCTAATAGATGTTACTTAATGGTAAGATGCTGGATAATTTCTCAATAATTCAAGTCTAAAACATACAAGCAATTATTACATAGAATTATTTTGAAGAACTAAATAATTTAATATAAATAAACACAAAGTACCTTAATGTTACAAAGATGGAGAACAAGTAAATCAATACAAGTCTAGAAAAAATATGACTATGAATATAAAAAGATATATCTTTAGTAATGATTATTACCAAAGAGAAAATAAAATTGAAACAGAGACCTCAATCTATACTCACTAGCAATATCTGTAATGAGAAATGTTCCATATCCATGTGGGAAAAAATATGGTTTTACTCAACATGATACAGAGCAAATGAATGGAAAAGCTTACTATCTTCCTAGATAGGCTGAGTATAATAACATAATTTTTCTCATTTAATATAATAGCAATCTAAGTCTGATCTGATCCAACTTTAAATGTCCAGTTTAAATTGAGCAAACTCATCTTAAAGTATGTGCAGTACACACAGAAATAGGTTAATTAACTTTTTAGAGGGAAGGTGGAAAGTAAATGACAGGCTTATTTTTACCCAACATTAAGACATAATACAAAGTTACAAGAAATAAAATATAACTTAGGAATTGAAGAGATTTGGAAAGTTGATGCTATTTTAAAATATCCACAAATCAGTAAGAAACACTCTAAGATAGGTGGGGAATTAATGAGATTCAATTAGTTTACAAAATTATGGACATATCATCAAAACTTACTAATGTTCAAAGAAACACAAAATTTTAACGAGGGTAACCATTTTCACCTATTAAATTAGTGATTAGTTTAGAAAAAGCCAAATACCCAAACATGAAGAATAGACAGTCTGCATTTCTATTAGGTGAATAAATCAAATTCATTTGATAATGAGTAATGAGCCTTAAAACTATTAATAGCTGTAACTTTAAGTATTTCTGCTCTCTCAGACTTTGACCTAAAGATTTAATTCTAAAGACAGATGAAGGTTTAAACCCTAAAATATTAACTTTAGCCTGATTATAACATAGTGAAGCCTCCACCAATGAAGGACTGGCTATGCACAGAAAGGAGGCATCTGTGTGGCTACTACTACATATGACCACAGAGCTCGCGCGCTGTGTAACTTGAGGCCCTAGGAAAAAAAAACATTAAGTCTTCCTGGATCTTAAAAGTAGAAACTACGGCTGAGGCACACAGTTTAATCAGCTGGGATTTTTTGTTAGATAAGACACAGTATTCACAGTATCTCATATGTAATACTGATAAGAATTCTCTCCGTTACCTCCGTTAATCACTGGCGTTATGAAGTAAATATTACCATCTCCATTAAAAAGCCTGCATGTCATACAGATTTTCAGAAAGTCGATACCCTGAGTAGCTGAAATTCTGTGAATGCATGAAAGCATTATAAAGCAAACTTATATCATAACAGGCCTGGAGGGGAAAGCCAGTTTGAGGATTTCAATAAACACTTTAATTCATTTAAATGTATTTAATCCTTTGATGAGAACACAGTTTTATTTGAAGACACTGAGATATAGGAGTTTAAGAAATGCTACTCCCTTATGGATTACCTGTGATGGTGCAAAACCAGACATGTGAAAAGCTGAAAACACAAGAGGCAACTCAGTCTTCAGTAGCATTTCAACATAATGGGTGCAGCAAAAATACACTGGATGAATGCCAGATTTGACAGTGTCAATAGGTAGGTAACTCTGCATAAAAGAGAAACATTAAATAATAAATATACAGATAATTTGAAATAATACAACATACCTAAATATTTTCCTTTTGCTGTAAATTGCTGCTTCAAAATTAATGTAGTGGCAAAACAAATTACTGTAAATATTGTAATTATGTAAATTTAAAATTCAGAATGCTAAACAGTGTAAAAAGAAGAAATTTTGATAAAGGCAGTTTTATATACCTTCCAAGACTGAGAAATAAAATTAAAACTTTGCAATTTGGGCAACTTAAATCCTTGTGAAAAGATGAGGAAGGCTGAAAGAATAAATACAGGTATGAATGAGTACATGAGTAATACTTTACATTTTAATACTAAGTATATTGGAATATACTTAACATTCTCGGCTTTGGCCAGTGATTCTATAATGTCAAAAGATTTTAGCTTTGTCAGCTCTTGAAGATATTTGCATTGTTCCTTTTACTATGTTGATATTAACCTAAATCTGAGTCTGAATTAATAATAATCCAAATTGGGAATGATACAAGAAACTCGTCTCTGAAACAGGGAAAGAAGTGCACAAGGCATTCCTATCAAGATAATTATTTTGAACAAAATTTATGTTTATTTTTATATTATCTTATATTGATAGTTACTTATATTTATATATAGTACATATGTATGTAAATATATACACATAAATATTTATAAACATATTGCTTATTTTCCAGTTTGGTTAAGTATAATTTATCATTGCAAATGATCAATAATGTCATACTAGGTATTACTATAAATTTGACATATGCTCATAATAATTGTTTTTTTAACAAAGAATAAACTGGAAGATAAAATTTTATGTAAAAAAAAAACTGTTCAGTTAGCAATTATATCAATAAAAATTGTTAATCAAATTAGATCTGAAGATTTAATTAATTAAAAGACTGCCAAAAAGGCATCTTATCTTCTTGCTTTTATTAGTCAAATCTTATTTTCAAACTTTTTAAATAAAATTAAAATTAATATTTTAAATTAAAACAAACTCATAGCAATTATATGGGTTAAAATATGGAAGATTTCTTTAAAGCCTTATTGCTAATGCTAGATGCTTTTAAGAATTTAGGTTTGAGTTATACAGAGTTTCTGTAATCAGCAAGTTAATTTACAGTGAGTTTTCTGTTTTATCATTCATCATCATAATTTATTGTTTTACAGTGCAGAAACATATATTTGTAGAAATATATATATTTATGTAAATGTACATTTATGAAGGGTTCTCCAGGAGACAGCTCACAGTACTTGAAAAAAATATTATTTTTGTGCATTAATGAATGAAGATATATAGTACGGTAAATGGACATCTTGTAGCCAACTTTATATCGATATGTAGGACAAAAAGAAAGCTTTTTAATGAATCGTTAAAATAATAATATGGACTGAAAGAGAATTAGTATCCACTGATTTATCTTCTTTTGTGAAATACTGCAATATTTTACTAATATATTAACTCATAAATATTGTAATATTTCACTAACTATTGCAATGTTTCACTAATGGCTATTTGTATAATTAGTAAATCTAATAAGCATATATGAAAACAAAAAATCAACTCATAAGTGTATTTTAGTTTTTCCACACAAACTTAGATAATAACTTTCTGAATACATGTCTAATAGTAGTACAAGAGTTCTATGTATAGGAAATGATTCATCTAGAGTATCATTTCTAGGCTGCATTGGAAATACCTTTAGAGTAGGCCCATTAAGAGATAAAGACAATAGATTTATTAATTACATTTTCAAAGAACATAAGTTGAGGTAAGAGTTCTTCTACTCCCTAACTTGAGGTAAGAGTTCTTCTACTCTGATAAATTAGACTCTGTTGGAAGAAATTTTGCCATACTTTGTGGTAACACAGCTCCTGATACCAAGCCTTGCACAGAATAGTTGCTCAACATATTATTGCCTCAATGACAAAAAGGAAAAGATGCTAATGATGGCACACACACATTGCACAGTATGCAATCATTAGTGTCTTTTCTTTTTGTCTTACAGTAAGCTCACTTTATTCAAGTTTTCTTAGTTGGTCTGTTAATTACCGTTTCATGCCTCTACTTTACAATAAACATTGTTCATAAAATTGGATCAATAGTGACAGCTCTGAGTCAAAAGAATATAACATGAGGTGTTCTGAATCATCAAATGATAAATCGTTTATTACACTTATAGTATTTTGATGTAATTTGTTTAGTCACCACTTTCTGAAAGAACAGTAAATCTTTATCATTCAGAATATAGGATTAATGGAACACATGCAGGACAACAGCATTTAGCATCATCTAATTAATAATCTAATATATAAACTACACTAAGACAAAGTGCAAAAAAATGTCAATAACAACATTGACTTTGGATAGCCTAGAAAGTGGCATAACATGAAGCAAGGATTTTACAATATAACACTATTTAGAATATTGTATGTTACTTTAGTGATTAATAATAAAAAATTTATGCTTAAAAATAAAACATAGCAGTCTTAGTTTTTTTTTTCTTCCATTATAGGTGTTTGGATGAGTTATTTTATTCCTGATAGTAAGAAAAAAGAACTAGTTCTATGTTGCTATGAAAATTAAATAGAAAGACCCCATTTAAAAAATGGTCTTTTTTTAATGGTCCAGTTTAGTCCTCCATCTTTGAGACTCTATGGGCAAAGGATGGGCCATGCTTTACAGCAATGTTGTAGTTAACTTGTGCATCATGTACAGCGGTAAATAGAAAATTTTGAAGATTTTTCAAAACTTTGATTCTATAATTCTATATAACATCAATCTCTCGTCTCAGAAAAAAAAAATGAGAAAACCGAATCTGCAAATATGATTAAGACTCATAGTCACATAGTCACATATAAGAAAGGGATGGAGTTTGACACTAGACCTCTTGCCTACAAATGGTCACATGACTTACTTTTGTTGATACCCTACAAATAGATTACAAATATGTCATGCCATTCTAATGATTGTAAAATTTAAATGTAAATTTATATTTGAATTAACTCCATAAACTTTCTGAACTAGGTAACTGTTATTTCAAGAAAAGAATGGGAGGGCTTCTGTAGTGGTGACCCTATATTATAACTATCCCATGACCTGGCTGAACTATACTACTTCATTTGAGTATTACTTTAGCCTAATTTACCACCAGTGGAGTTCTGTTTGTATGTACATGTAAAATACTCTGATTTTTATTTTAGTTTAATTAGTTTTCCTTTTTCTTATGTTTTTATATAGAGAAAATTTATCATCATTACTTCTATTTATTCTTTGAAATTCGGTATTTCTACTATGAAAATAATTTCCTAATTTTTCATAATATATCATTTTATTAATGGCTTCAATATTAACAACTGGCCAAACTTTGATTCTTGATGAAACTCCATAATGAGTAACTATTTCATCATTTAGAAAGTTTTTTCTTAGCAGCAAAAAATAATTGAAGATAATTTAATTAAATCAATATATTAAAGGGTTCTTCTGGTGTAAATGACATCATCACAGGATAATTTTTCAAACTATTTTTATCTCATGAGTAATATAGTCACAGTTTATAAAATTTTAAGAACTTCAAATTAATGTTTCATTTCTTCCTGTTTTACTTATCCTAAGCCTTATATTTTTAAAACCTTTTTAAGGTTGTTTGTTTACAATATTCTTATGAAAGCAGGGGATCTAGTATCTTTCAAAGACATTTTCTAAAGTAATAAAAGCTTCCAGTTCTTTATATATTTCTATTAAAATATTAACTTACATATTCAACACACATTTACTGAGTGATTACTATAAGCCATATACTTTGGGACACACCTATGAACAAAACAGAAAACTCTGTCCTCAAAGAACTTACATGAAGTGTATAGATAAATAAATAAATAAATATCAGAACTTAATATAGGCTATAAAAAACGTGAAAAATAGAACAAGGTAATGAGGCTGAGGTATGTGCGATTGAGGAAACAGGTTGTTTTTTTCTTAGGTTGATTACAATAATGTGAGGTTAGATAAAAAAGGTAGACAAGTTTGTACTATCAACAGCTAAAGCCAAAGTGTCTGTCACCATGTTGCAGATTTGCTCATTTTATCAAGTTGCATAGAAAAGATCACCACAATGTTTAGACAATGGAACAAATAAAATAGAAAAGGTATCACTTTTAAATAATATATTAAGACTTACTGAATGCACTATCAAGTCAAGTGACATGGAGGAAATACCAATTCAAAAGACTGTTACTCAAAAACATGTACAATGCTGTATAAATGTAAGATATTAGAAGCAGCACTTAGCTAACAGTTCCAGATGGATTCCTGCTGAGGAATCTTAACGGCATGCCATTTGTTTTAAAAAGAAGCATCAAAACAAACTATTGGTAATAAAACATTAAAGTTGATATATTTGTATTTGAAAAGAAAAAATGATGCTATGGAAGGTACTGCATTAAGTCTTCCCTGATAGTATAGCTGCATCAGTAGAAAGGTGTCAAGCTTTATATCAAGAGATCATTCTGAAAACCCTGAGCCAATAATGTGTCACTTCCTTCCATTTATATATTTCATATTCAGTGATGCTATCAAAATGGTAAGTCAAATAAAATTCAAGCTGCTAGAGCCCTGCTTGTTTTCAGTTATAAAGAAAGAAATGCTAACAGAGCACAAGATCATCAATGTTATGAAAAAAATAATGTGCTATTTAAAGTTTTATAGGTTCAAAGTAGAAATGCAACTTTAGAAAATTATGGGTCAACATGATTCACTAGTGATGTTTAGATGGGTGTCATAATGAACACTAAAGGCAGAACCGTTAAGACTAGTGGAATGTAGATATTACTTCAAAATATCTGACAGAAGAATGAATGATTGGAAATAAAATCCATACCCATTATGACAAGATTTTCAACATTACATTTGAAAATAAGAGGGAAAAGGCCGTTATTATTTTTTTTAATCTTTAAGTACAGTTTAAAGGAACAGAATTACTCAAATTCTGGTTAACAGCAGGAAAATAGTTCCATTGATTGGAGAAAACCAGTATACACATTTTTTTTGCCATTTGTTTCCCTCTGTTCATGGGAGGAAAGTTTCTCATTATGGTGAAGAACAAGAACTAGATGATCTTTTTAAGTAATTGCATATAGCTATTTCGAGCATAACATTATAACATTTTAATATTTAATGTATTCTGTGATTAATTGATTTATTTTCTTTATCACAAATATATATTATAAAAAACACCTAAAGGATATTTTCATCTCCACATAGATACTTGCCAGTCCCTCAAGTTTATCCTTGACTGCCATGTAATTTCACTGTCCAAAAATGTAACAGATCATGGAAAAGGTTTGAGAAATATTAGCATAGCTGATATTTCTGGCAGTTTCCCCTAGTTGGAGATCTTAACAACAGGCAATAAACAAATAAGTAAAATAAACATAAACATTATAAATTGACTGAGGGATGCACTTACCTCTAAAATAACCTATGAGATTGCATAAGACTAGTAAAATCATTTAAAATACAATACTTTAATAAATACTCAGTATAGATTTCCAAAATGTATATAAAATGAGTGGTTATCTTCTTCTATAGAAAATAGTTACAGTATCTTCCTAATAAATGATTTTCTTATACTGTGATCAGCGTGAGATTCTTTCTAACCAAGCAACAATACAACACACCAATTCAGTTGTTCTCTTTTTACATGCAGAATTTAACAAATATAACTATAATTTTTATTTCTTTATCATGTTTCTACTTCATGAAAATGCTTCTAATATAAATCTTTCATTCAGTTACTATTAGGTAAGACACCAAGTATTTGAGAAAATGTCAAATCTATACAAAGAGAATCAGTCAAAAAACAGTCAAGTAGAAAAATGAATATAATTTATTACAAAGCCCTTCACAAATAAAATAATATCCCAGTGAATTTAAGAATAATGTTCCTTAAAATTTCAAACCCTCCTTTAAAACAGACTGAAGTCTTACAGAAATATGTAGTCTTGGCAACCAAAGGAAAGCAGAAGTCAGAAGCCTGGAGAATTGATGAAGAAATTGGAATGTTTTTTCTTTGTCTCCCAACATTATCATGAACAGAGAAGATACAAACCAGTCATGGCCAGTATAATTCCCTTGCAGGGAGACTGAAAAACATAGTTAAGAAAACTTTATAATATTTTGTAAGATAAAATATGAAAACTGTGTAAATATTCATTTTCAGGATCTCTACCAGGAAAGAGATACTGCTAATAGTCCTTATCATCTCTTCAATCAACATACAAGTCACAGAAGTAAAATTAAGCTTTGTTAATGAAAATTAAATCACTTACATAATTACTATTTTAATATACTATTTGCCTACATGGCCAGCGGAGGTCAAAACAAAGTTATTTTTTGAATAATAAACTCTGCATTTAATGTATACAAAATAGTTGGTTGTTAAAATAAATACTATTAAGCACACATAAGGCAGATAAATTCTAGAAATGCACAAGAGATATATTTCCCTATAATATACATCACACTCATTTTAATGCCAAGCTGCTGCACAGATGAACGAGTTTCATTCTTTACATTTGCATCAGTAGCTAAAACTTTCAAGCTAGGAAAGTAAAACTAAGCTTTGTTAATGAAAATAAATCATTTACGTAATTATTATTTTAATTTACTATTTGCTTACTTTTACAATGGAGGTCAATGGCAATAGCAAATAAAAAGTACTCTTGTGAAAATTCACTTGTTCATATAATTAACACAACGGTACCATTTTTTCTGTAGTTGAGGTTACCTGTTAAATTGCCATCCTAACCAAGCATAAAACATATGACTTTATTCAGTTTAAGATTCAATGAATAAGACTAAATATAATAATTACAACTCAATTTAATAAAATTCATATTTAACATATGGCATAAAATACTGTAAGAATATATTATAACAAACCACTAATATAGTTTTAAGTACTATTTTACTATAAATGTGTCAAGGTATACCATCAAAGAATCATGAAAAATACATGAAAAAAATTAAGCTATTGTGAATCTACTCAAAAAGGATATGAAGAGAAGATTTTACGGAAGTTTGCTGCTGTTTCAGGAATCTCTCACAATGCTTTAAAACCAAGGCAAGATCACTTTCTGCTCCATCTTTTAAGAGATTGAGGAATTTGCCATACCTATATTAAAAGTCCACAAAACATTTAAAAAATCAGGTCTTGCATTGAATGTTTTAAAATTTCTTCTTTAGCATAACTACGTTATATAGAGCACATATAAAAGATTAGTTGTCAATATATATTTCTGATGATTATTATATATTTGGATTAACAGTATTCATCTGGTAAATACTGGTAACTTTAAAGGAAGATGAAACAGTGATGAGAGAACAAAATGATATCCTGCAGATGAAAAGTAGAATATAAGCATTTTTTCCTGAACTTGATCTAAAACATGGAATGTTGACAGGGTAGTTTTACAAAATGTTGAGTCTGCAAGTACCTTTAGCGTTCATACAGTCTAATGGTCCTAAATGGAGGTGGTACTTCCTTCAGGGGCCACTTTGGAAATTTATGGGACTATTTTTGATTGTTATACTGACGAGGGGTCACTACTGGTACAATGAAGGCCAGATGATTAAACATGGGACAGTCCTGAAGAATAACATGCAAATGTCCTATTTGTTACTGGGATGGGTGAAAAAGTTGTTTATAATTATCTGAAACTATTCTGCTTTTATAAAAACTTCTGTATTTTTTAGCATACACACAATGCAACTTGAAGACAGTGCTTTTGTACTATCTTTTCTTTTGTACTTTTGTATTTTTGAAACTTTACTAATATTTGTTCACCATTTTCTAAAAAGTCTCGTTGCCCATGGCAACACTGTGGTATTTGAGGCACGAAAACAAAAATCAGTCTGTATTTGTAGCTGCCAGAGTCACAATGATTTTACATTTGGATGCCAGCTATATCTTATAGTGTAATATATTCAAACATTTCATAATAAATCACTTTCTGTTCATTTCTTACAAATAAGATATTATATTGAGTTAAAAAATATGTGACTAGCCTGCTTATATTATCTATGACATCTGTTTAAGAATATCAATAAGGCATTATAGAATATTTGTATAAAAAGCCGGCACAGGATCACAAAACATAATTAAGAGAATCATATGACCTATGTGATGCAGGCGCGTAAGTTCAAATTATTAAATAATGTCATTTTCGTCATTATGTGAATCTATAAAACTACTCAGCTGTTTAAACAAGTCTTACATGTATCTTTTAAAAACTTGATTCTGAAGATGACTCTATAAGTAAAATGGGAATGTTAAGGTTTCCATTTAATAAGCAAAAAAGAGAAGTTTCAAGGTATCAGTTTTAACTCAGTCCACTGTTTAGCTTATCCATTTCTTTTCAAAATTACAACTTGAGTATTAAAAACTGAAACTGCTATATGTTTAACTTCCGTATCTGTCCTTCAGGTACTCATCACCACAGAATTAATCATATTCTAGAAAATAGTATGATTGTGCTACACATGTGCTGATTTTTACACTGTTATTTCTGTTAAAAAACCTGATAGTTATGAGGGCTTAAACACACTGTAATTGGCCTCTGGAATAACAATGAACTGTAACTGATTTGCCTATACAGGTAATTTAATCATGTGCCAATATCCTCAAAAACAAAGTCATTTTCTGAATGATAAACTCTGCATTTAAAGACTACAAAATAGCTGGCTGTTAAATTAAATACTACTGAGCACATATCAGGCAGATAAAACAAATTCTAGAAATGCACAAGAGAGACATTTCCCTATAATATACCTGACAGTCATTTTAATGCCAAGCTGCTGCACAGATGAAAGACTTTCATTCTTCACATTTGCATCAGTAGCTAAAAACAATAGAACACTGAGTTATAAAAGTATATAAAAGTTTGCATAATAATCACATTTTAATTGAAAATTGATGAAAGCAATATTTTTACATATTTTAATGTGAATTTTGAAAACACTGATGAATTCATTTTTTTAGGAACTGTCAGTTATATTTTCAAAGGAATTAACAGAAAACTTTTTACAAATAACTTTTTTTCCCATAAAAAGCATTGGAAAGGACATATAAAACAATAGTAGTTTTAGAAACAATATATTTTATTTGGCTCTCAGAACGAAAAAAGCCATTGACCCAAAAAGTGATCTAGAAATACTACTTTCATCATGCAATGCATACATAAAACTTTGAATTACAAATATAAAGTATGGTTATTTCCTTCCTAACACTAATGCTTAAATCTTTAAGTAATCAGCGTTCTACTTTTAATGTATAACAAAGCATATGCGTAGAGTGAATGAGTTTCCTCCTGCAGGCCTAGTTTTCTTTGTGAAGTAGTACAGTAGGTGTATCATCTAACCAAAAGTGAAGAATGGGTTAGTTATATTTTATACTATAATATATCCAAACATTCATAATGAATCACTTTTCATTTATTTCTTACAAATAAGATAGTGACCAGCGTGCCCATATTATCTACAAAGTCCATTTCAGAATAGAAATAGTATAGTACAGAGGACTGCAGTAAAAGCTGAAAGTCTGGATTAGTTTTTGAGAACACTAGAAGACAAAATTAACAGTGAACCCTCAAAGGAACAACTAAGCAGTATTCAGCATCTATGTGAAACTCAATTTCTGGCTGAAAAAACTATAGAATGGATACATACACACAAACACATGCACACACAATGCATGCACACAATTAAGAGACTCATCACACAGTTATCTAGTTGTAGAGAAGACTAAAACCTAACTTTTCAGAATACCATGAGTTTTGTTTTTTCTTCATTACACATTGGTGTATCTCATACTATCAATATAATCTATTTCACTTCTAGGGTCATTCATCCCCTTAATAAATCATCTCTGATAAAGTAAGTGTGAAACACCATGCCAGAAGCTATGAGGCATAAAAGATAAATCATACCTCATTTCCTAAAAAGCTTTCCATGTAGTATCAGAGATCAAATGTGCATACAGGTAACTCTGATAAAGATACTTTAAAGCCCAATATGAAATAGGAATGATACAGATAAAGTGTTACATGAATTCAGAAGATGAAGAGAGTATGTCTAGTTGGTGAGAAAGAAGTGCCACTTAAGCTGAGCCTAAACATATATTGATCTGCATGCTTATAGTAACACCAACATTTTTTGCCTTCTGGAAAGCATAGTAATAGACAGCTGTCTTAATGGTAAAGGATGAGTGTGCAGTGGGTAGAGAAAGGTGCTAAGAATGGGCATTCCCATCATCATGTGTTCCACAGATCACAGTGGCTTCTATCAGGAAGCACTGACCTAACACATCAGTGAAGAATGTAATGTAGTTATGGAGCAAGGTGAGAGGAGTTGTCCAAAAGATCTGAATATGTTAAATATAGTAAGGAGCAGGTTCTTTTAGTTCTTCCCTGTGAACGAAAAGAGTTCTTCCATAGTGGTCTAGTTGTGAGGCCTGAGATGAGACCCTTAGCTTTTCCAGAGTTCTACAAATACTTTCCAAGGTCTAGACCCTCTCTAAAAGTTTATGACACGGTATCTTCAGAATAAAAAATTAACTCAGCACATTTCAACAGATAATGGTTCTCAATTACAGTGGTGCATCTTCCGAGGGACTTTTTAAAGGTAAAAATAAATAGACATGACTCCAGACTACTAAATAAAATTGCCAAGGGTGAATGTCCAGTCATTTGTATTTTTAAAGACCTCTACAGCTTATTTCTTATACACTAAAGTTGGGATTTACATTTAAAACAATAACAGTTAAATTTAGACATAGTTACAATTGGACAGTTATACACCACTATCCAAAGTTCACTTTAATGAAGTATAGCAAATTCTCAAAAGGGCTTTTAAATTTTGGCATACCAAAACAAACATCAAATATTCATTTTAAAAAATCGCTGATGTGAAAGAGATGTAAATAATTTTAGTATGAATAAAACTACACAGATAAAAATATGGAAGAAATAAAACCTTTCTCAAAGCAAGAATGAAGACATCAGAAAATGATTTAGGGCCATATATTTAAAGGTGCTTCAGCCCTGGTGTGGTGGCTTCCAGCACTTTGGGAGGTGGAGGGGGACAGATTATCTGAGGTCAGGAGTTGGAGACCATACTGACTAACACGGTGAAACCCTGTCTCTACTAAAAATGCAAAAATTAGCCAGGTGTAGTGGCACACGCCTGTAATCCCAGCTACTCGGGAGGCTGAGGCAGGAGATTCGCTCAAACCTGGAAGGCAGAGGTTGCAGTGAGCCGAGATCATGCCACTAAACTCCAGCCTGCGTGACAGAGTAAGAGTCCATTTCAAAAGGAAAAAAAAAAGAGGTTTCCATATTAAATTTGTATTATATTTGATATACAATATCAATATACAGTATATCAATGTATATAACTGATATACAATGATAACAAGCAAATTTTGCAATCCAAAGACATCTTAGACAACAAAAGTTAGGTGAAATAAACTTTTATTATATACAACTCTGGACTACAAGTAACTTATAAGGCAGGAATTGAAATCTCAAAACTAAAACAAAATTGATGGGGAAAAATGAATAAGTAAAATTAAATAATTAAAAATGGATGTCTTCAGAGAATTCTGATGTATATGTTTGGCTGGTAACCAGTGATTTACTGATATAGGTAAAACTGTGTGGGATACGTAATACATACTTAAGAAGCAATGAGTGAATGAATAAACCAACATCCAATGAATAGCAACAAAAGAAATTGTACTTTAAATATCAAACTAGAAGCAAGGTGGAGAAGAAAATAGACATCGACATAAAAATATTTTCTGTATATGGAAATCAAGTAACACATAGAAGAGATAGCTCCCATTCCCTAAAGTCACTGTGAAAAGCATAATGAAATACATTGTTGAAGAGTCAATCAACCAATGACATGTATAGCATCATACTTACCCACTTACTAACAATGCTTAATTCAGGCTATCTTTTGAATAATAATTAACTCTCTAAGAGAGTTACTCTAAGAGAGAGTTAATTATTATTCAAAATAACCAGTAATTTTAATTATATATGCAATGGTTTCAAAATAAAATGAGTTGACAAAATTTATGTAACATGAACTGAGATCACTCAGTGTGGTAATGCATTCTGTTCTATTTTTGGTTTGCAAAGCTAGCACATACAGCAGCAGTAGAAGAAATTAAATCTATTCTGCCTGGCACTTGGCTAATAGTGTGGAAAAAAAATAAATTTTCAGAAGAGTAAAGAATTTCTCTACTGGAAGACAAATCCATGGATGGAGAGGCATTTACTACTTGGTTGCTTACCGACTTTCCTACTGCACTGCCGTATCTGTCCTAACATCAGAAAACTCCTACTATCCAAAGAAATCAATGGACTATATTTCTTCCTCCCTCCTTCCTTTCCCAAAGTCAGTCTGTATGTTCTGTTGCTTCTTTTCTAATAGGTGGTTGCATCCATGCATTTTATTCTATTCTTACTACCACAGAATTCAATACCTTGTGACCAGGCTACTGCACGCGTCTCAGCCTCTTAATTGGTATAGTCAGGGTTATTTGGGGGGGGGGGAATAAAAAAGCATTTCCATGTCTTGATTATGCAATTACCCTTGCCTGGAAGACTTTTCCCCTCTTCTCTTGTTTCTTTCTGTTCTAATAACCCAGGAGGCAGCACAAGTAACACTCCTGCCCTCTATTAATGCTTACTCCTCTTATCTTCCATGATGGTAGTAATTTGACACTGAAGTCCTTGTCTGCAGGACACCTGTGGCCCTTAAAATAAAACCTCTCATTGACAATAACCAAATTCAAACAGCAATTTAAAAAGCACATTGCCTGAAACCCAGTAGCCAGCTGAAAAACTATCCGTTTCTTTTATTTTCCACCTTACTATATGCTGCAATTTGTTTAATTCCTAATTATAGGTATATGCCCTATTTTTCCTTCCTGAGGAAAGGTTCATATTATTTCTCTTTGCAATTATAATGCACTGTGCTTTACTCATAAATGTTTCATAAACGTAAGATAGAAGACAGCATCTTTGCTTAATATTTCAAAGAAAGTATAAAAGGTGTTTTAAGTGTATTTAATTAAATTTAAAATGATATTTTAATAATCAAAAGGTGAAACAAGCAAAATGTTGATATTTTTTCTAACCTTTTGATTAACTAGCATCACGAAGAGAAAAGAAATAAAAATACATACTGCCCCGAAAGGGCCACTTAATTTATCATTTCAAAGAAGCAATTACACTGGAAAAAAAATCCCAACTTGTTCCAAGAAATTGAACCAACAAAAAGGAAATGCCTGTTAAGATATGGAAAGATACCTGTATGGATTTACAAACTGCAAATGTGCAGAACTTTATCTGTTTGTTCCTTCCTTTTTCTTTAAAGGGATAAACAGCCAAACTAATTTGATTTTTTCAGATTTGCAAATTTTATAATGGATTAAAATCCTGAGGGAGCTAACAACAGATGGATGATTGTGTTATTCTAATTTCAAATACCTTAGGGTTTAGAAGGCTGTCATTTTTTAAAAGATAATCAATTTCTCATTTCCAGAAACCTGAAAAACACTGAATATATTTACCCAGTATTTGTTTTGAAACATTTGATATCAAAACAATTTTTAATTTAAAGCAAATGGAGAGAAATTTTATAATTAAAAAATCATTGTTCCACTAGCCAAAAAATACATGATAAAGGATGAGGATATCTAAAACTCTGGGAAGAAAACAATGTACTAGCAACAAGCTCACTATAGCACAATAATGAATATTAATCAGTCAACAGAAAGTCACTTCAGTTTTTGGCTTTACCATGAGACTGGTGAATAGCTGTTCAGCTG